AAAGAAGGTTTATCAGAACTTGCCAATGATTTTTTTTTTTTTCAGGACTATCTATATGTCCTGAGAGAGCTCTGGTGGCATAGTGCCTAAGGCATTTGACTGCTAACCAGAAGGCTGGCAGTTCAAACCCACCAGCCACTCCTCAGAATCTATTTCTGTAGAGATACTGCCTCAGAAATCCAAGGAGGGGTTGCTATGAGTCGGAAATGACTCGAAGGCAGTGAGTTTGGTTTCAGTTCCCTTATTATTTTATTTATTTATTTTTATGTATACATCATCCCATTGCCTTCTTGTCTGCATGGTTTTGGAATGGAAAACCTTCTTCAGGAAGGTTTTCCATCCCTTTATTTTGCTCACTTGCTTGAACCATCATATCTTGTTTCTTCTTTGGATTTGTTATTATCTGCTAACTGAAACATTAAGGTGTTAATTAATTTATTTATATATTTCTTTCCTGATTGTATGTTTTCTCCCCCCCCCTTTTTTTTTTTTGCTTCATTTTGTTTTGATGTATCAGCAGCTTTGTTTCTTCTCTTTCTATTTAGAATATCTTTCTTCCTTTGTATAATTTTAATGTTGTTGTTTTGTGGTACTAGTCTATGTATGATTTTGGTGGTATCAGTTGGTTGGCTAAGCGTGATTTCCTCTCACTAGTGGGTATGGTGGGTCACACTTACATGTGAGTCCTCTATCATTAGGTACATATGTCTTCCTTTACAAGATTGAGTAGAGGTGTGAGAGTAGGTCCTCTGCCTCATGTGCAGCATAAGTGTTGGGCGGTCAGAGTCCCTCCATAGATCTTGCGGGACAATGTGGGTTGGTGCTAGCAGTTAGTGTGTCCACTGGAAAGCAGGGCAGGACTTCTTTCTGCGAGGCACTGCTACCCCAATGGATGGGAAAGGCCCTCTGTGCATGCACAAATTGGTGTTTAAGTAGGTGGGAAGCAATCAAGGGGTCTCAATGCATGCACGATCAACCTGTGGGGACTGTCTGGTTGTAGGACGGGTGACGTCGCAGCTGGCTGGTCACTGAGTGATGGCATAAGGATCATCTGCTCGTTGTTGAGTGGAGACACAGGCGACGCCTGCCATGATGCATCAGGTGTGTGGTACAGTAGCACATCACCAGTCACTGGGCAGGAGGTCCAGGAGTGCACCATCAGTAAACACAGTGTGTGTGTGTGCAGGGGGAGCTCACTGCCGGTCACCAGCTGGGAGACGCAGTGAGCTCCCCTGTGAGCTCCCCTGACCGTCACAGGGGATGGGGTGTTCCTGGAAACCTGCCCCCAGGCAATCAGGGCGTGGCCTGATTAAATGTGAGGTGGGAGAAGATGCACGAGGCTGGCTGAGTGGGGGATCTCTAGCTGTTATTCTGATTTTACAATTCAGTGAGTGTTTCCTGTCTCAAAAGTCAGGTACTGTCAAAGTGAGTAGTCCTGCCCCCTGTTCCTGGCTCCCTCCCTGCTCCACGGTCACCAGGATCACTGGAGTTCTCACCTGCCTTCCTGCACGTTCCCTTTTTGGATTCAGCTCAAGTCCTGCTCACCTTGCTTCATCCCAGGTTTGTGTACACAGTCTCTCTGTCTCCTGTTGTGAATTCCATGGAGTTATCTTCCTATCCTTCTAACCCAGAAGCACTGCCTGCCTTGTCTCAAGATGGCCACGCTGTGCTGGGCCAGATGGCCAGGTGCCAATGATCCATCAATCTCCTCATCTGTTTTTACTCATTCTCTGCTACTCAGTACTCTAATTCAGCCTTCCATTTAATACTCAGATTCAGGGTATCATCTGTATCCATTTCTCTTTGTTTCTCAAGTCTTTATTGTAGGGAGCCATTATGGTATAACAAAGCCAACATCTTGGGCTTTTCCTATAAGCTTCTTCCTAGTTCTCTCTGACACACATGGGGTCACTATGAGTTAGAAATGACTAAACAGCAGTTGGTTTTTTACGTATATGTATGTATATTTCTTCTTACAAGTTACAGTTCTAAATCTATACAAATTGCTGTATATCTAGAAATGAATCTTTTCAATGTATTTGATGAACTTGAAAAAAGCAGAAGTATGTATATTATCTAAAAGTGTTTTGCATGGAAAATTCCAGCTATGCAGTATACAAATAATATACATGTACAAATGATTTATTCCTGAAGATTCCAAGTCAAGAATCCCAGGCTTAATGATCCCAAAGAAAAGCTGTGTCTTCTTCCTTGCCAGATCTTTGGAATTTCATCTCACAAACAGGAAATCACTGGTTAGCAATGTTATCAAGGGACTACATGGATTGGTCTTTGAAATTTTCCATAGGTTGAGTCTCTGACTATGAGCCAAATTTCACCTTGGCTATCAGCCTATAAGCTTAAAACAGTCCTAGGGGACTAAGAAAATCAGAAATGATGACCCAGAACAAGAGAACATTCTGTAGCAGATGGAAGTACTCCCATGGGACAAAAGTAAGTTTTCTGGGTTCAGATGTTTTAATTTTAGTCGATGGTCCCAAGGCAATTTAGACAAGAATGTGAGGCATCTGTAGCTTAAAAGCCTAAAATGTTTCCAGTCTTCCTGCCACAAACCCTTTTATGGCAGAATGATCAAGTGATCATAAGAAGTCCTGTATTTGCACTGAACAATTTAAAAATATTTTTTAAAAAAGATTCATATTACATAAAATTCATATTATATAAAAGAAGATGACAGAAGAAAGGATGAGAAAAAGGAAGTAAGGTTCAGTATCTTAGGATGGAAGGAAAGAATGAGGAAGTATGCCTTTCTTGAAAGGAGAGATGCAAGGCTCTATGAAATCTGACCAGTGAAGGTAGGACTGCTGTCACTGTGACCTAAATTTAAGCCTCAGACCTCCTCTGGGAAACAGAAAATTAGAATCAATGAATATTCTAAGCAACAAAGTAAAACTTTCTGCATCTCGGTTGAAAAGTACACAACCCTAAGTCTGACTACTTTGCCTTCAGGGATAATTGAAAATTTTCAACTTTCACTTCATTTTCATGAAGTGATGGGCTTGCAAATAACCTTGTTTTAAGAATTAAAACTGGCCTATAAAACTGGATGATGACCAAAGTGTTTTTTCTTAATCTTCCAAAAAAAAAAAAAAAAACTGTATAATGCGACTCTACCCTATGGTTCACTATGTGTCCCACCCTCTACCCCTTCTGTGGAAAGCACAGTAAAAAAAAAAAAAAAACTAGAGTCTACATTTCTCATTATGTAGAGTGGACTTAGAAGTCAAAGGGTTTAATTAACGGAGTAATCAAAATGAAGAATACCTGGAAGGCTTAAAGACTCTGGAAATTTCAAAAATGTTAAAATATAAGCAAAACCAAACTCCAAACTCAATGCTGTTGCATCAATTTGACTCTTGGTGACCCCTCCTTGGGTTTCTAAGATGGTATCTCTACAGAAGGAAATCTGGTAGCGTAGTGCCTAAGGCATATGACTGCTAACCATAAGGCTGGCAGTTCCAACCCACCAGCCACTCCTCGGAAGGAAGGTTGGGCAATCTACTTCCGTAGTGATACCACCTCAGAAACCCAAGGAGGGGTCGCTACGAGTCAGATCCAACTAAATGGCAATGGATCTCTACATAAGTAGATTGTTCAGTCTTCCTTCCAAGGAGTGGCTGGTGGGTTTAAACCGCTAGCCTTCTGGTTAGCAGTCAAATGCCTTAGACACTATGCTACCAGAGCTTATTGTTGTTGTTGTTATGTGCCGTCGAGTCAGACCCGACTCATAGCAACCCCTCCTTGGGTTTCCGAGGCAGTATTACTACAGAAGTAGATTGCCCCATCTTCCTTCCGAGGAGTGGCTGGTGGATTTGAACCACCAGCCTTGTGGTTCGCAGTCAAGTGCCTTAGGCACTACGCTACCAGAGCTCCCATGCTACCAGAGCTAGTATGCTTTTAATAAATAATAGAAGATGAATTTCCCAACCATGGCCTCACTACTTCTTTATTGATCTTCATCCATGGTCATGATAATCCCCCCAAGTCATGGCCTCCATTCTAGAAGGGCTGAATCAGCCTCTATTCTCATTGGCTTTACCATTGAAATATAAGAAAATGTGGCTCCCAATAGATAAATCTACAAACCCACTAATGCCAAGAATTACCAGTAGCTACAAGAAGCTGAAAGGAGTCCTGGTGGCACAGTGGTTAACTGCTCAGCTGCTTGTCAAAAGATTGGTGGATCAAACCCACCAGTTGCTCCATAGGAGAAAGATGTGGCAGTCTGCTTCCATAAAGATTGCAGCCTTGGGAATCCTATGGGCAATTGTATTCTGTCCTATAGGGTTGCTGTGAGTCAGAATTTGCCTTGAAGACAATAGGTTTGGTTTGGTTTGATTTACTGAAGATGAAAGAGACAAAGAATGACCTTCCCCTAAGAGCCAAGGCCCTGAATTCTAACCTCCAGCCTCCTGAACTATGAGAAGTACATTTTTGCTCTTAATGCTACCTACTCATGGTATTTTGCATGGCAGCACTAGAAACTAAGACAAGTATCCTAGTCAAAAAGTATTTCAATTTCTATTCAAACCACCTGACTACTTGGATTCATAACTATAAAGAAACAGTACTTCAGAAAGCTTGCAAAGCAACTGAACTCTTACAGAATTCTGCAGTGAGTGTCATTTTGACTTCAGTGTGCTTCCTCGGTGATAAGGAAGTTGTACAGAAAGATTAAGTCACACGGCCAAGCATTATCCAGCTGATAAATGTAGAAATGAGGCTCAGAGCCTAAGACTATTGGATTCTTAACAACTACAACTTCACTACCCACTGAAATTTAGCTTTATGCTAATTTAGGCACAGTTCCCATAATACATTTGCGTAAGATCACTTCCTTGAAGAATTAACACCATAAAATCAAGGCTGCATCTCTTCCCCATGATCTGAGATTTCAACTTTTAAGCCATTACCCACATAAATATGTAAGTAAACAGGGCACCCTAAACTATCTGATGCCTTTGGAGAAAATGCAGGACTTACATGGTGATCCTCAATGTTCTTCAATAGTCTGGGATCGTTAAAGTCACATGAATCACTGGTGGGAGGAGGCAGCCGACTGGAGGAGAGAATAGGAAAGTGTATTCAATTTAAAATGTCCTATTAAGGTAACTGAAAGCTAAGAAGAACCCGTTTTCAGGAAGATTAATGCCTAAAAAGCCTACAGAATGACATTAAACATTGAAATTATTGCAATACTTACGTTATTTCAAAACTCAAGACAACAAACCCTTAACTTTACTATACCTAAGATATTTTATAAGTTTTTACAAAAAAACATAGTTACAAAAGGAGGGAAAACAAAGCCTGAGGATCAATACCTTGACTCTACCATATTAGTCCTTGGGTAACTTCGACCAAGGAGTACTTCCAAGAATACCTGCTCAAATCAGGTAAAACAAGAATAACTGCTGCATTATATATGTTGCAGTATATATATATGCAATCATTTCTGGCAAGAGCTCATACGTAGGAGAGAGAAGAAGACCAATGGTATGACAAAGGAAATGTAATGTGAAGGGTGTGTGCTGTCATGCGGAAGACAACGTGAAAGGCATTATCTCTACTCCCTCCTGAAACCCTTTCTGCAGACAAAAACAACAGAAGAGGAGACAACAGCAGAGTTGATGTCAGTCTCAACTCAAGTAGACATCAGAGTTCAGCACAGCAGAGAAAACAGAAACCAGCAGCTTTCAAGAGGAATCATATAAAATGCTAACTAACTGGTGGCCCCAGCAGAACCTGGGGAAGGGTAAGGAAATGGCAGACTGGCACAGGGGAGGTGGAACACAGCACTAGTTGCAAATCCTTGTGAGGAAGACTCAGTCCCCAAAACCCTCCCTCATGCCACACAGAGAGGCAAATGAACCTTCTATACCCAGAGACAAATGGAAGGTTTGACATTTAGAGAAATCAGAGTAGCCCTGGGCCCAGTAACGATAGCACCCCAGGCATTCTTATAGGTGAGGGGCTATGGCATTCTCCAAAAGTAGGAGTTTTAAATAAAATTCTATGCACACCAAAAGGTACAACCACCAACCCTCTGCCTCCACTCAGCTCCCATAACTATTACAGGCAGATTGATTACCCCTGGAAAGAAGCATGAGAAGCTAACTGGTCAGCACGAGAGACCCACAGACATCTGGGGATTCCTAGGAAAAAAAAAAAAAAAAGTGGGGTTCTGGCTGGCCATCCCACAGTGAAACCAACCAGATATCAACCACACTACCCTCCACAGACATACACACACAGAGATGTACCAGTCAGCTTTGTTAGTGTGTGAATCTTAAATTAGGAGCAGACAGTCCGTGGGCACCAGCCCTTTGAAGAAAGCCTCCGAAATAATAGTAAGAAACCAAAAGCACTGTGGAAGGGGAACAGAGCAATGCAGGGGCAAGACTAGGAGAATGTCTTTGAAACTGAAAATGACGTAAAATTAAAAGTTCCCTACAAAGAGCAGAAGATGAAGTTGAGGAAAAAAATCAGAAAATAATAATAATAATATGGAAAATGAGAGAGAAAGTTGATAACACTAGAGGATCACTCCCAAGAGTTTCAATATCTGACTAATAGGGAATCCAGAGGGAACAGGGAAAATGAGAGAAGAAAAATTATCATAGAAATTATACAAGGACATTTCCAAGAATCAATAAAAGAAAATTTACAAATAGAAATGCCCACTAGAGGCCCATTAAATGCCAACACAGGGAAGGACAACTAGCCTAAACCAAGGCACCTGGCAGAATTGTCCAAGCTAAGGATACAGAAAAAACTTTTAAATGCTTCCAAAGGCAGGGAGGGGAATAGGTCAAACACAAAGGATGGTCTACACCCTCATCTTACATGACAGGAAATCTAGAGACAAGGTAAAAACACTATTTTAAATTTTTAAAATTAGTACATTATTTTGAAATATAGAAATAGGTATTTTTAAAAGAGCCTAAAAAGCTTTTCTGGAAAGTAGGAAATGGGTGGGAAGCACTGAGCCAACGGCTGGCTGTTTTCTTAAAAGTTGCATAGTATTATTGGACTTTGCAAACCATGTTCATGCTTTAATATTATTATGGTTCTCTCTCAACATATATCCAACTTTTATATTCAGGTAAGAAATGCAAACACGAAAACATGCCAAAGCCTTTTGCACTAGAGTGTCAGTAAGTGCTAGAATCTACTCACCAGAAATCCTCTGAAGATGGCTCTCTTATCAATTCTGGGAAATGACTGTCAGAGAGAAGGAAAACATAGTGGCCACAAAATTGTGGTCAAAAGACAGGCATTAATACCAAAACCAAAACTGAAAACAAAACTATTGCTGTCTAGTCAATTCTGACTGACAGCAACCCCATGGTTTAGAGAGTAGAACTCTCCATAGAGTATTCTTGGCTATAATCTTTATGGAAACAGAGTGCCAGGCCTTTATTTCACGGTGGCTTTGAACTGCAAACCTTTCAGTTGGTAGTCAAGCACAAACCATCTGTGCCACTCAGAGACCAAGATTTCTTTTGTTGTTGTTGTAATTATTTGGCTTATTTATTATTATTATTATTATTAATTTTAAGAGCTTGTTTCACATTCAACGTTATGTGTACATTTAGTTTCACTCCCCATTCATCATGTCTAACCCCAACCCAGTCTCCTCCCCTCCCCACCCCACAACCCTCTCCCTGTGTACCCCATATTCATGCACTCCTGTTTGTCCTGCACTTCCTCAACTTGAATGTTGGTCCTCTGGTGCCCCATGGTCTATTGCTCTAAGGGATGTATTACCATAGAGTATGTGGGTGCATCATCTTGGGTTGAGTGGTTTTCGTGTACATCTTGTTAACTATTGGGCTGAGAGCCAGCCCCTGGGAGTGCATTTTATTCCAGGTGCAGAATGTATTCCAGGGCCATAGTATTAGGGGTCTCACCACATTTCATCTGACCAGTAATTCTGGTCATTATTAAGTTTTTGGATTTTGTTCCACGTTTTCCCTCCCACTCTATCCAGGATCTCCAGATTTGATCCTTTCCTGAGTGGTTGGCATTGGTAGCCGGGCACCATCTAGTTCTTCTGGTCTCGAGGGCCATCGTGTCCTAGGGCTGATTACTTCCAAATGCCCTTGTTTTTTTGCATTCTTCTGCACTTCTGATGCTAGGAGACCATTAGCTGCATCATGGCCACTTGAAAGCTTTTAAGACCCCGGTCACTACTCACCAATGTAGGATGCAGAAACAAGGCTTTTATGTATTTTGTTGTGCCAATTGAGTCTGGTGCCCCCCAGTTCTATGGTCCTGAAATGGTAGGTCTATTGGATCTCTCTCCCATAGTGTCTGGTTGTCTGTGAGGGATTACTCTGTGTCTGCAGAGACCAAGCTTTCTTACATGAGTAAGAAATTTGGGCAATCTACTTCCATAGTGATACTGCCTCAGAATCCCAAGAAGGGGTCACTATGAGTTGGATCTGACTCTACAGCAGTGAGTTTGGTTTCGGTTTTTGGTAAATTAGAAATATAAACTTACTTATTTATAAATAAGTTACTTAAGTATATAAACTTACTTATTTTATTCCTTGGGATTTCTAAGTTAATATTGGCAGAAATAATCATTTAGTTGTTCAAAACTTTCATTTGAGGCTCATTAAATTTCAAACACAGCTACATATCTAAACCTCTTATAAATATCCTTCCCAAATATCAAAAAGTCAAGGTATTAGACTAAGTAGCTAAAATAAACTTGTTTTGTCAGAAGAGTAGAAATGAAATTTTCAGTACGAATAAAGGTAATCACCCATAGGTTACTCCTGCAATGCTGCATTTCTTGAAGTTCATGATATTGCATGTAAGAGTTCCAGTTTTGTCAGAAAATAAATACTTCACCTAAAACAAAGAAAAGAGAAACATACATCAAGAATGCAACATGATACAAAGACTAATGGATAAATTCTCTCCTTTTATATGCTTCAAAATCTTTAAATACTATAAAAGGGTAAATTTCCTTTAAGCAAGCAAATCAACAACAACAAAAAAATATATTTCAATGCTTAGACCACTTATAAATCCTTTCCCATTACTAATTCTGGAGTCAAATTATGTGGAAATTGGTAAAGGAAGCATCAGTAACAGCCACGGCACCATTTTAGATTTATAAGCATAGCAAGCAGTCCTACCACCAGGCATTTCAATGATACCTATTTATCTTCAAGATATTCCTATGGTCTTATGCAGTATTCTGTCCAGTATGACAAAGTAAGAAGCTAAAACTTTGGCAACCCTCAAAAATTTTTATAAGACTCTGCCCCCAAATTGGATTACAGAGGCATATCCTTAGACGGTACAGAACAAAACTTGAAGCTTCTTAATTATGATCATAATTAAGCTGTACATGAAACCAGCATGAATCTGCTATAGATTATATTACTTTACAAGTGACAACATTTTACAGATGTATTGCAAAGCTGCATATATACATAAAGATAGTAAGAGCAATTCCTGGAGCAGATCAACCAACTAACCATCTTGGCGTGATTAACTGAATGCAAAAAGAGATGTATTATAAATGCAAATGTAGTGTGCAAACTGTCATCTCAGGTCACAAATAGACTGAGGAGGAGTGAAAGTAACAGAGCATCACAAGACAGGAGGAGTCCAGTTCAGGCTCTGGACACTAACTAGTTAAACAGACTCTGGAAAAGTCATCTCATCCTTCTTAATCTCAGTTTTCACATCTATAAAAGAAAAGGATTTGAGCAGAAGATATAAAACATCATTCTATACTTAACATTCTGGGAAATTATGGATGGATTGGTGACAGGAGGTAATTCACTGAAAACTGTCTCCAGTAAAAAATCCAACTTCTCAATGTGTGTTTTTTTTTTTTTTAAAGAAGGGTTGTGATTGTTAATGAATGCTAAATGTATTCCAGGGACAGGAAAGAACTGTTCTAGAAAGGCAGTGTTTTATAAAAGAGGAATTAGTAAGATGAATTGTTTTCTTATGGCTCTAATATAAGCTCTGGTAGCATAGTGCCTAAGGCACTTGACTGCTAACCATAAGGCTGATGGTTCAAACCCACGAGCCACTCCTCGGAAGGAAGATGGGGCAATCTACTTCCGTAGTGATACTGCCTCGGAAACCCAAGGAGGGGTCGCTATGAATTGGGTCTGACTCAAAGGCAGGTAACAACAACATAAGCAAATAGACTGAAATTGTTTTTCGATATCAAGCAAAGAGATTCACTAAAGTCAAATGTTACATTGTTGTTGTTGTTGTTATGTGCATAAAACTAGTGTACTATGGGTGTGTTAGTTAAGGTTATGTGTCAACTTGGCAGGGCCTGGTTTTGAGTGGGTGGGCAGCTGATAGTAGTTATTCCTCATAATGAGACTGTCAATCAACTCCATGGTGGAATCTGCCCGAGCAGCTGAGTAGCTGCTTCAGGGGTGTGGTCTGCTTCCTGTATATAAGGAGAAGCTTTGGGAATGGTTTGCAGCTTTTGGCACGCTTGAATCCTGCATGTAGCTGAGTTGTTATTCAGCAACCTACCTGCCATGTGGTTTGCTAATATTGGGACTGTGCCTTTTTACAACATTGGCTTTGTCAGCCTCAGCAGGCAACAGCTGCCTGAGTGAAGAGACACCTCTAGCTCCAGTAGGCCAGAAGCAAGGGGCAGAGCTAAAGCCCAAGGTGAAGGGCCTTTCACCCAGCCCCTAGAGCCTAACACTTTAACTTGGCTTCTAGCCTCAAAAACCGTAAGAGAATAAACTGTATGTTAAAGCCATCCCATTTGTGGTATTTTCCATTAGAGGAGCACCAAGTAACTATAACAATGGGTCATTAAGAAGCCCTGGTGGCAAAAACAATGGAGCTCTGGTGGCGCAATACCTAAGGTATTTGACTGCTAACTAGAATGTCGGCAGTTCAAACCCACCAGCCACTCTGCAGAAGGAAGATGGGGCAATCTACTTCTGTAAAGATTTGTCACCTTGGAAACCCAGTGGCGGTCTCCATGAGTCAGAATCACTTCATGGCAGTAGGTTTTTTTTTTTTTTCCCGGTAGCAAAATGGATAAGCAGCCAGCTGCTAATGGAAAAGTTGGCAGTTTGAACCCACCAGCAGCTTGGCAGGAGAAAGATCTGGCCATCTGCTCCTGTAAAGATGACAGCCCAGGAAACCTTATGTGGCAGTTCTGCTTTGACACACGGGGTTGCTATGGGTCAAAAACGGACGCAACAGCACCGAACAACTACAGCAGGGGTAATTCATAATTTAACTACAAATAAGATTTATATGCAGTTAACAGGTATAAGAAATTCAGTAGAACGTGGATCAGTTGAATCGCTTCTTAACAAGCAGTGTATTCTTCTGCCTGCTTTAAAAAAAACTGAAAGATTGCATCAAAATACTGAAAAATCTACCATAAAAATCTTTTACATGGTTCCCACAAGATAGTGGACTAGGCAGAAGGACTGCACAGACCCTCTTCAACAAAGAAAAGGAAAACCAATTAACACAGACACAGAAGATAATCCTGGACCACTGAGCCTTGAAGGGAAGGATATAGAAGTGGACTAAACCCCAACTAGCAGAAGAAATTGTGTGAAAATACCAAAAAAGGAGACACGCGGAGCCACGGTCTGGCAGGGACCTGAACGCCCCTGACGGCACAGACAGCTTAGAGATTCCCAAGTGGGGGTAGGACCTGAAAATTAACCTAAAAATCACCCTGCTAGCCAGGGACTGCACAGACTGTGCACGATGGCCGGGGAACAAACAGAGAAGGTGAAGAGAAAGGTGAGCTGAGTTGTGGACTTTTGCCGGTCCGGAGGACACCGCCATTTTGTAGGTTTAAAAAGTGGCTTGACTATTTGAGATATTTAAAGAGATAGCGCTCCCGCAGATTCCTGGGGTGGTAAGAAGAATTAACCTAAAAATCACCCTGCTAGCCAGGGACTGGGAGC